CGTCCGAATAGTCCGTAGGGTGACATGATGCTGGCTACACTTCTCCCTTGACAAAACCATACTCCATCTTATACTGTCGAGATCCACTTCGATCAATGAAATAAATTCACTTGTTTGTCGAGTTCACCAGACTATTGGTTTAGGCACTTGGTTCACACTGTTCTTATGCGAGTGATCTTCGCGGCGCCCACTACTCGTGAGGATGGGTAAGGACGTGATCCACTCATAAGCTAAACTGTCCGGTTCCTGTCTTCATTCGTTGATGGGGTTTTCGGGTTACCGCTAAGTCTATCCGGAGCTTTATGATCACGCAAGGCAAATATGTTTAAGGCATCCTGAGCATGCACTTCCGCGGCTGTATGTAAGGTCTAGAGAGTTGAGTGCTGGTGTTCTGTTTACAAAGTCACAAGAAGTCCAACCGACACGAGTGATGAGTGTACCTGCAGGTACAGTGAATAAGTTGGTTACATACTGCAATGGCACGCCTTGTGCCGGTTGATCACCCCAAAATCGTAATGTGTATCGTTTTGATCAGCCTGTGTGGCGCCGGGGCCTTCACATCCTCATTGAGCCAAATGATTCCACTGGTTTAGGTCAATGTTGACCAGAGTTGATTATGCTTAAGAGCTGACGTAGATTGTGACTGACCTGACAGTCCCTAGGGGGACCAGTCGAACCGTGCATAGATTAAATATGCTGCCAAATATGTTGCATATTGTATCAGTGCTTCTGTTAGAAGAACGACGGTGAATGGTCGTGAAGTTTGTGGTCTTCCCGATACTTCACTTACCTTTGGTAATCTAGCAACAGTGGCCCTTTCAGGAATCCACATCTTACTTGTGACGTTTAAGTCTGAGTCTCCAGGGTATTTTTGACACATACATTCTGGCTATTTGGGGCTCCCTAACATGTTATGATTCCTATGTGCCACGACTTGCTCTATTTTGGAGAAGTCCTATGAGACGGTGTGTAGAAACCACCTTCCGGGTGGAAATTCATTGTCCTTGAGCCTGAGGAGGAAGTGCCATAGAGCGGCTGCACCTTTGACCCAAGTTGCTAAATAAAGGAGGATTATATCCTTGCTTCATCTCTCCTTGGATATTTCCTCTTTGGATCACTTATGTTGTAACGGCCTCCCCTTGAAAAAGGAAGCATCTGCATGGTAAATCTTATGATGTTTTATGTCCCGTTAACAAAATCAAATGGGCACGCCAGCCAGGTTCGTCCTACATCTGGATGCGGACGTCGTCCCGAACGCAGGTGAAAAGAGCCGTCTGGGTGTGCGCATCGTGCGCGTCCCCTCTTATCTAACCTTGCGTTGTTTTATTCTGCGACACATGGATACACGCTAATTTGTTTTCTGCAAATTATGTTAAAAAAGTGAGCCGCTGAACTGCTAGGAATACTATCCGAAGTTAGTGCCTCAACATTCTTAGGTGAGCCAAAATAATAGGAGCTCAAACCCCACCTTTTTATTCATCTGGGCAAAGAGCAAGTTGAGTACTTAATTTTGTTTATTTTACCTGACGAACTTTGAGTTCTGTGACAAGAGATAGTCGGTAACGCTGGCGTTTGAGTGAAATAGCGCATCGGTAGAATCGTAGGACAAAGCAGCTTGTGAAGTGATCCAACATCCCGATTCCACTAGCTATCACCAGCACTTCGCTGAACATGCCTATACGACTTACGAGGAGATCCCTTGCAACGGATAAATGTTGGTATCATCTAGACTGCTGAGCAAAGTGGTAACGTCCGCTGTATTAGAAAGTATGCTGATAGAATTTGGTAACACTAGATTGGGTAAGACGTTTACATTTTGAACCCAGCTTTTTGAATAACCATGTTCAGAAATGTAGGCGACGGAACTTAGGTTATGACAAATGCTTAGTTTGCTGAACTCCCTGGCGGTTCACATTCAGTAAATGCCCATGCTGACTAGGAAACACAGACCTTGGCAAGAGGACAAGGTTTGAATAACGGCCTACGATACAGTGAACGTTGTCACATTCCAAGGTATTATCGAAAAGTATCGACCGGTCCTTTCGAATTTACGGTGAATAAGCAACAGAACTTGTGTTAGTGTTTTAGCTGCGTTTCATTAAGGATGGAAAAGTTGCATATTTCGGAGGCAGAAGACCGGAATCCTCATTTTATTCATCCTAGACACCTTTAAACTACTAAGAGCATGAAAGACACAAATCATGTCAACCATGAATTACTTGATATCTTACGCACAATCCCATAAAAAACCAGCCAGGGGTTTATCCACAGCTAACCAAGCAATCCTGTAACGAAACTACAGCCAAGCATCAAGATCTCTTACACATGTTGTGTTTACTGCTGAACTAAGGTTTGAGGCTTCCCTAGTAAACCAGAAATACTCGTTGTCCGACTGCTCGGGGTAACAAGCGGATTACTATTTATGCCAAGTTGGTTACCGATGCCGTGAACGTGGTATTTCTATGGAGGGGGAAGACGGAACAGCGGCTTCGGAATCACCGTAGGAAGTGGTAAGCATTATCATGTTTCAGGTTTGGTCTGCATTATCAATCAACCCTAATCACCACTTTTAAAAAGGGGCTGATAAAACATGCAGTCCAGCACCTGAAGAAAGATATATCCTAGCCTTATTCAGGTCTCTATGTAGCTCACGTCTTGTAGGGTTAGAGACCCACAGTGACTTGTTTCTTTCGGATAGCATACTGCTTGAGGTCGATTCAGCGTCACTAGTGCTAACAGTGAGAACATATTGAGGAATGTAGGATAAAACAAAGTTTACCTATCGCAGGTGTAACAGTGCTTACAGGATTGCAGCTGAAACAGATCATCCAGTGCTGAAGATAAAATTATAGCGCTGACATTTATTTGCCTATCTACGCCACTGTGAGCTTCAGTATTAATGTCTTTGTCTTTCACCAAGTGCAAAGTTCTCAGCATACGGCACAAGAGTATGCACAAGTACCACCTAGGACCACAAATTCTACAGCGGGCTTCTCACGAGTACCATCTAGGCGTAATAGTTCAAGTTGACCTCGGTAGTTTGAGACAGACTGAAAAGGCAGCTAAGAAAGTAGACCAGTATCTCGGCCTTCTTCGCAGAGTTTTCGGGAAGTTTGACCCTTCAGTCTTTCCAAAAATGCTTAGTGCGTACGTGAGGCCGCACGCGGAATACGCGCTTCAAGCGTGGCAACCTGGCTCAAGCACCATCTCACCGCTCTCAATACTGCACGACGTAGGGCAACGAAAAGCGTCAGAGGTTTGACCAGCCTCCCCTACCCACTCAGGCTGAAGACCCTTAAAATATACAGTGGACGTTATCGGCGTCTAAGGGGCGATCTCATAATGGTGTACCTAATCCTGAAAGACGCGAATCACCCATGTCACTCCCTTCTAATACTCAGCCAAAACACCTCGCTAAGAGGTCACCAGTTTAAGTTAGTCACGCAGTTCAGCCGCCTGGAATGTCGGCGAAACTATTTCTCCCTTCGAGTGGCACAGCCTTGGAACGCCCTCCCGAAACATGCAATTAATGCACCCACACTATCCCTTTCCAAAAAAACGTCATGACGATACTCTGTCACATTTACACTACGTGTTATAGCCCATGACCACCAGATGCTGGCACTAATGTACAACAGACAGGGGATACTTCCATAACCCTACTCGAGAATGAGTCACTCCAAACGCCTTGCACGAAATTTGATAAACGCTACTACTATAGACACTGGATTTCTTTATCCCGTTGACCCAAGATAGTTGCACACAAGTAAGCGTTGTCCTTGCTATTGTTTATATGTTTTCTAGCCTATTACTTGATCAATAACCACTCCCCTATTGCTTTGTGTGCGTACATTATCATTTCAAACTCCCTTTATACGACAGTGCCGTTACATCTGTAATCGCCCGAACTGACAACTCCATTATCCCTTGCACTATCTTTTTGTCACGCTAAACACCCTACGGGACATGTCAAGCACCTGCTTTTTTTACCCGTTATAAATCATTGTTCATTGTACATGGAGTTCCGGTAACACAACATATTTATCGGTAGGTGACCTGAATATATTGTATGGAGCACATCCTAGTAGTCTGACTTAAAGCTTTCAATTCAATGTGGTCTAGCGGATACAGACTGTTCATTTGCTATACAGAATGGCATAATCACGCATGGCGTTTGTCGTGAACGTATCATAAATCTGGAGCCGATAACCGATGGTCCTTAGCGAAACGATGAAAAGTATGTATTGTGGCCCAGCATGCGTAGAGCTTTAGCTACTTCACGAATAATGCGTTGCGTAGTATATTGTGTGCGTTCTCATTCGATGAAGTTTTGATTCAACAACAAACTCAGGGTTCGAAAACCGAGCTATCTTTAAGTTACGAAACACAAGGGTTCAGCGCCATTGAATTCAGTTGCTTATGCCTCCTGTTGGATGGGTTTAGTCGCATGTGCCTCCGTACACTATTCAGAAACACAATTATATACAAAAGAACGTTACAAATTTTATCACATAAAACCGAAGAAGCGAAATGTGTTTAACGTGTTATCGCTAATGACGAGCTACCTATTTCGAGTTTATTTGCAAAACGTGGCTTCAAACTTAATCGAGAAAGTAAGAGTTCCAAGAAAGCTCATCCAAGGTGTATGTGAAAATAATGTGTGCTCTCACTGAATACATGTTTTATTATTCCACTTCATTATTAATATACTAATACCGTATAACGGCAACGATTATAGACCTATTGAGGGACAATGTTCCAAGAAGACAGTTATAAATAAGTTTCTCTTTCGAAAGCATTAAGGAGTATGCAGGATCACGATGTAGCTGAATTTAATAGAGAAATTTCATCTGCAGGGCTATCTTTTATTCCAGCTGGGTTGCTCAAGTACTTTTCAAGAAGTTCATTTTACAATTGTTCCACAACTCATGTTTTCTATCTTCATTTTCATCACCCAGCTGCAGCTTCAAGCAGACAGATGAACCAAAAAGGAAACTCACTTCTGGATAAGATGCGGTTTTTATCTGGCACCATCGCAGTAGTGCATCCTTTGCTCGCCGCACTTGAGTGTTGTCTCCGACTTCTCGTAATTCTACATTTTGTACCTAACATGAAGAAACAATTGGCCGTATTACATATGTATGCTGAAATCAACGATGAATTTTTGACTATATTTGACATAATTCTACTTATGAACAAGTGCTTCGCTCGAGTATTCAAATAGTTGTTGGGTTGATTGGTGAGGTCATGTTGAAATACTGGTCATTTAAAAGGATAGCGACGCCAATTCTTAATTTGGACTATGATTCGTATGATAATGCCTCTTGATCAATACGATCACTGGTTCCTTAACTGAAGCAGATGACCTCAAGAAGCTATGAGAGGTCAGCTGCATAACAACGACAAGAAAACGTATCACAGGTAATTCATGTGCAGATTTCGCAAGTGTTGTGCCCAAGTCTCACGTAACAATCGTAGGTGAACCGGCTGAAAATGTTTGCAGTTCCACATTTACACTTGGATGTAGACATTTCCCGTTAGTCAGCAAGTATATGAAAGTTATGATGTGTCAAAATATCATATGATTATTAGGTAGAGATTTAGGAAGATGTGCACAAAATGCTGCCAAGCTAGGTTGACCCGTTAGTTGCATCAATTAAGTGTTCAAGAGATTTGCAACATTCCAATTCTCTTGCTCAACCGTTTGTTACACTTCCGCTGACAAAATGCAGTTTTAATCCGCAACACAACATATATCAAAGCATATTTTAGAATTTCAATTTATAAAAAGGTAGGCAAGAGTCACCGTGGCGAAACGACTGACTACGATAGTGCACTCTAGCAGGCCGTAGCCTAAGAGTGTGACATGATTTCGAGATGCCCGTCTGTATGGCAGAACGTGCCACCTGACCGACGGTAGCACGGCTGAGTCACGCCGGGAGCTGATGAAATCAGACCGCTATCACCACACGGGTTGCTATGTGAGTGAGCGTGATTACAGCTGGCATGTGCGGACCGGTAGCAGGTACGGAATCTCTACAGGCAAATGGCATGAGTTAGCTCGGAACGTACAACGGGAGATGACAGAGTGTGACCTATAAAATGAACCATGTTCTATGCTTAATATACTTCGGTCTAGCAGGCTTCGGCGTATTGTCTTGTTCCCGGCTGTGTTGGTAATGCGAAGAACAGAGGGCAGCGTTACAACAGTGAAACAGTGGCGACGAAGTTTTCAATCAAACCCAGAAATAACTGCTAGCTTCGCATAATTGCGGGCACTTTTACACCAGCAGGCTAAGCTCATTGAATTGTTGCCGCCAAACCTGTCGATACAGTTCAGCCCAGGGTTAGGGATAATTGAAAGTGTCACCTTTCCAGACACTCTGATGCTGATGCTGGCGTGACATTCGCTTCCTGGTTTCACAAGGATGAAGATATGTTTCGTGTCAATTTCGCAAATATACCGGAAGAGAAAATTCGCGTGATGCTCCGGAAGCTGCGTGTGATTGAACATAAAAGGTTTACAAATTGCATCTTGCCAAAGAGGAGCACAGACCTATTATTTGACGAGGTTATCTCAGTCCTGTGACAAATTTTTGATGAGCAGTAAGCCTTCTTCAACCTCCGGTACAAATGCCTCACGATGACCAAGAAAAAAGACGAAGATTGGGTCACCTACTCGAACCATATAAATCGCGAGTGCGAATGCTCACAGTCTCACAAAATGACCGCCGACCAGTATAAGTGCCTCATTAAGGTTTGCGGTCTACACGGTTGGCGGCATCCGGTTTCGGATTTGCCTGTCAATGTGGCAAGCCACAGGACGCCTGCGCCTACAGAGGAGCCATGGATGGCTTGCGCTGCACCCGGTCTACATACAGCCAAAGATGCAGACATATCAACAAGAATACTGAACAAGAGGTAACAGAACCCTAATGTAACGCTGCAGCAGATGATCAGTGAATGCCAAAGAATAAACAGTCTGAAGCATGATACGTCAATAATTCAGTATCCGTCCAGCGCAATCATCACAACCTGATCAGTGCAGTTAACCGCAGTCCCCAAGGTGAATCAGCTCATGAGAATCCTTCAGATTCCAAGCCTCCCTCAGACAATACGTTTGCAATCGCTATAGTAAACGAGGGCACAAAGAGTCTTGTTGCCAGGACAATCGTTCAATTATGACTAGGAAGTAGCGAAAAAATGCCATACCGTCCAGATGTTCCAGTATGAGTAGATCTGTCATCTCCGCTTCCAAAATTGCTGTCTCATTAGATGTGAGTGTAGGACTGCGGAAATCAATGGCGTTTGAGTCAAGTTGCAACTGGATGGTTGGCGGCATCCTGTTTCGGATTTGCTTGTCACTGTGGCCAGCCACAGGATGCCTGCGCCTACAGAAGGACCATGGGTGGCTTGCGCTGCACCACCCACAGTTCCATCCACACACCCCGTATCCAGTGTAAACCCGAAGGAATAAGGCGCGGAGGCATGTGGATGGGAGCCACGTTTCATCAAGGGAACCGGCCCACACTCCTTCACAGGCAAACACAAGCACGCTGTATTTGGGAATCAAGCGCACACAAGGCGGTGGGTGGACCGTAGTCCGCTCCACACTGAGTGCATGGAACCACTCCTCGAGCCTAGTATGACCACAAGGAGCGTGCACCCCGTCCCCATCAGCAACGACCAACTGTTTCCTGGAGCCAGTATGGACGAGGTAGTGGGTAATAGATAGGTAGGCACCTTGTCAACATGCACATCAAGCACAGCCACACCAGAGATATCAACCAACAGCGAATGACTTGAGAAGACAAGATGAAAGAAAATAAATCCAATAATGCATACAGCTACGAAAACAACTCTGCACTAGATAGGCGTTTAAAAAATTGATTACCAAAGAAGCCGCGATAACTTCGATAGGTCAGAAAATATAGTTTGACGAAGTGGGACAAACTCGAAAATGTTATCGAAATCAACTACAATTGGCTTCAGCGACGTTTACAAGTTTATAAAAGATAGTACTGGTAGAGATTAATATGAGAAAGAAAAGCATTAGGATAAAATTGCAAACCCACCACCTGAAACAAAGGAACTCAACATGCAAGCACGCGGTTAGTAAATCGAATGCAACGTAGCTAAAAGCGCTGCGCCGGTTCTACCTACGTTCTCTGCAGGACACGTCGTCACTTCGGTAGTGTTCCCGAGTGGTCTAGCTTATGGTTCACTAGGCCTGCCTGACTCAGGCACTCGCGACCGCATGTGCTACAGCACCACGCGCTCGCAGTCGATGGAGTACAACTCGTCGCCGCTTGCCGCTTCCGCACTTGCAGTTTCTTCTCTGCATGCATGAGGTTTTTCTTCCGCACTTCGGCCACTAACTTCGTGATTAGACCGCGTCATGCACGCCGATCAACCGCATTCAATTCCCATGACGTGCAATCAAGATTAGAACGTGAGAGGCTCAGTTTGATCATGTCCTGGTAAGGAAGCCTCGGTTTCCCCACATGCCGCATCCTGAAACTCAGGAGACCATATAAAAATTGTTTCGGTATCCGCGTTGATTCCATACGGCTCACATGACCGATCCACCTCAGGTGTCTCAACAAAAGTATGAAGTCCACTGCATACATCCCACTTTGTCTCAACACTTCAGTGTCAGCAACTCTGTCGCCCCAAATGATGCACAAAATTCGTCGCAAACACTGCTGATGGAACCGCTCGAGACATCGCACATCCTGTTGGTACATCGTCCACATTTCACTGCAATATGGAAGAACGGACAGCACCATGGATTTGTACAACAGCAGCTTCGTGCCAATGGTAAGCTGCTGGTTGTTCCACACTCGGCACTTTAGCTTACCGAATGCCGCCGCTGCCTTCGACACGCGGATACGCAGCTCACTGTGTATTCGCTGATCAGTCGACATCACTCTTCCATGGTAGCAGAAGCGGGAGGTGGTTTGCAATATTTCAGCATCAATGCTGGTTCGCGGCAATATTGCAGATTGCACCTCCGGTGGAGGCTGAAAGAGACAGACAGTTTTGCTACTGTTGATGGTGAACCCGAATTTGGCCGCTGTCGAAGCCAGAGGACCAGTCACGTGCTGCGACTAATCGACGCTCTGCGCAAACAATGTACAATCGTCAGCAAACAGCAACATACGGATAGTTGTCACAGAGACTAGAGTTCTCGCACCGAAACGACGCATGCTCAGGAAACCAAAATCAGTACGGCGCGCCAACCGAACACGTAAGCACAAGCGGCATAAAAACACAAGATATAATTGCATGAAGATATATATTAAAAAAAGGAGGAGCTAAGACACAGCATTGCTCGACACCAGAGATAACTGCAAAGTCACCCGATCTATCTGCACTCAATTGCACACTCGCTCGAATAAAACCCGTGCAGACATTCAAATAAATTTAAAAATTCGCGGACAACCAAACTTATCCAACACCACTTAAAATGCATCGCGGTTCACCTTACAAATTCCTTGGTGAAATAAACAACAAATGATTAAAACAGCTGGTGCAGTTCTCTCAAATGCTCCTGAAAAACACGAGAAGCAAACAATATACATACGGGTAGTTTGACAAAAGACGGCCGATTAGCGTTCAGTTACCTACCGTGGCTCGCTTATGGTGAACGCCGGTCATTTACGGTTGTTGTCCCAAACATCCAATAGCCAAACGATGTTCAGCAAAATTCGCAACATGCTACTGCGCCTGCAGAGACATGAATTTCTCTCTCACCTTAGTGGTGCGAGCCTATGGGATTCTCGGCAGACGAGTGATTTAGTGCAGGGCTCAGGTGAGAAAAAGCGTAACCTCTAAAGATACACCGACATGAGCCTGTTGATCAGCGAGCGAGCCAGAACGTGTTTTCGGCCGTCCTCTAACTTCGCGCTGATTGAAGGTCATGGCCAACCGTAGGCGTTGACGCGATCGATGTTTATCTCTGTGCGTCTCGCTGGCTACGCAGCGAAGTCGGTCTGGGCAACGCAAACTGCGACGTGCATGCAGCTCAGCTGACGACGAGGTTACACATTGCAACTCTTGTCAATGTTATTGAATCACAGGTAATGGAGCATGAGCAGACAAT